GTGGGATAAAGGGTGGCTATCAGGGTTAAGGTATTTATCCTAGTGGGTTAAAGGGTGGCTATCAGGGTTAATGTATTTATCCTAGTGGAATAAAGGGTGACTATCAGGGTTAATGTACTTATCCTAGTGGAATAACGGGTGGCTATCAGGGTTAAGGTATTTATCCTAGTGGGATAAAGGGTGTCTATCAGGGTTAATGTACTTATCCTAGTGGAATAAAGGGTGGCTATCAGGGTTAATGTACTTATCCTAGTGGAATAAAGGGTGGCTATCAGGGTTAATGTACTTATCCTAGTAAGATAAAGGGTGGCTATCAGGGTTAATGTATTTATCCTAGTGGAATAAACGGTGGATATCAGGGTTAATGTACTTATCCTGGTGGAATAAAGGATGGCTATCAGGGTTAATGTATTTATCCTTGTGGGATAAAGGGTGGCTATCAGGGTTAATGTACTTATCCTAGTGGGATAAAGGGTGGCTATCAGGGTTAATGTATTTATCCTAGTGGGATAAAGGGTGGCTATCAGGGTTAATGTACTTATCCTAGTGGAATAAAGGGTGGCTATCAGGGTTAATGTATTTATCCTTGTGGGATAAAGGGTGGCTATCAGGGTTAATGTATTTATCCTTGTGGGATAAAGGGTGGCTGTCAGGGTTAATGTATTTATCTTAGTGGGATAAAGGGTTGCTATTAGGGTTAAGGTATTTATCCTAGTGGGATAAAGGGTGGCTATCAGGGTTAAGGTATTTATCCTAGTGGGATAAAGGGTAGCTATTAGGGTTAAGGTATTTATCCCATTAAATGGAAACTATCAGATTTAGATTTCAGTAGGTTGAAGGGAGGGCATTATGTTGAAACTTTTGATCATAGTAGCTTAAACAGTGACAATGATTTCAAGGTATTTATCCCAGTTAGTAATAAGGTTTAAGGTATTGTTTTCAGTAGGATAAAAAGTTTTCTTTATGCTATTGATCCCAGTAGGTTAAAGGTCAAGAACCAGTTTAAGGTATTGATGCCAGTAGGTTTAATGTGACCGTAGGTTTAGGGTATTGATGCCAGTAGGTTAAATGTGACCATGGGTTTAGGGTATTGATCCCAGTAGGTTAAATGTGACCATGGGTTTAGGGTATTGATCCCAGTAGGTTAAATGTGACCATGGGTTTAGGATATTGATG